CCGCGCGGCGTGAAGCCGGCCGGGTGGGTCTGGCGGCGTGCCATACGCTGTCGGAGCGGGTCCGGGACACATGCATGCATGTATCATGTATGCGCGCTGGGCCCTCCGATCCGCCCGCCGGGGTCGGGTGCGATCGATCGTCTCGGCGGGCGGGGAACCCGGGGATAGGTCCTATACCCGGGGACGTGGCACCGCGCGTGTGGCGCCGGGGCCAGGTGCGCGTCTGCGCCACTCGCCGCGCCAGGCGCCACCACGCCACCGCGCAGGGCGGTCACTGTGCCTTTGCCGTGGCTGCTCGCGTGCCAACGACGCCTGCGAGCGATCGAGCTGTATGGATATCGACCGATCGATCGGCCGGCCGGCGAGGGCGCCATCATTGGTCGTGCGGGTGCTGATCGCGATCCGGACACGCGTGAGCTGTGAGTTTCCTTCAAGCATGCACAACTCCCATGACTTGTCGAACTGAGCTGACTACTGTCCACTCGATTGTGGACGGCCGGGCAGCGGCGGAGTGAACCAGAAGCATAGTGTACGTTTTTTTCGAGCCACGAACCAGAAGCACATGTCGTTCAGTTTTTCGAGCCAGGAACTATAGATGGTCAACGGGCCGGCACGGCACGGGCACGGACCAGGCATGGTCCGAAGGAGGTCGGGCTGGCACGGCACGCCATGCCTCCTGGGCCGTGTTTCTCTGGGCCACGGGTCCAACCTTCGGTCCATACATGGCATTGTAGGCCGTTTTTCGTGCCGTGCCAGCCCGTAAAGCATGCCCAGCTTAGCAGGCTCGTGCCTAGACCAAGGCCCGCTTCCAGATTTTTGGCAGGGGGAAGGGGAAGGAAGGACGGAGGCAGGCGGAGGTCGAGCCAAGGCCGGTGCCCGCGGTGGCGCCTTCATGCGGGTGTGCTCGAGGTTGGTAGCACCCTCGCGGCGTCCGTTGCACGCTCGAGGGCAATGTCCTTGCGGCCAGCGCGGTGGCGCCACATGGTCGCGCCCTCGCGGCCTCCGCGCTCGAGGGAGTCAAGGCCAGTGCAGCGGTCCACGCCGGCGTCCTCGCGGCTGTCTGGCAGCTCGAGTAGAGGTCTCGAGGAGAACCCACGGGAGACGGCGGAGTGGGAAGCGGCGCTGGGGTGCCGAGTGCGTGAGCGTGAGTCGCGAGAGGGAAAAGGAAGAATGCGGCGCGGGTGGGGAAGGAACGATGGATGGCCGGTGACTTAGGGTTGGGAGTTATGTTGGGCTATAATGATTTTGGCCTTTTAGCCTAGTAACGGCCTTGGTACCGGGCCGGTGCTATTTACCGGGCCATGCCGTATCAGCCCACGTGCCTAGGGTGCGGCCCAGGCACGGCCCTATACATCGGGTCGTGCCGTGCTTGGGCCAGGCCCAAAAAAAAAAAGACGTGCTTCGGATCGGGCTGTCGTGGCCCGGGCTGCATAGACATATACACCAGGAATAGAAGCATACTGTGCATATGTTGTTTAGTTCAATCAGCTGATGCAGTATTTGTTTCTCTCTATATTTTTTAAGCTGAAGATGATGTTCTAGCAGGTACACTTTTCAAGGGGAAAAACCAAGGGATGGTCGGGAGATAAATGAAGCATGTAGCAGATTGGAGGAGTGATGCAATCTAGATGGGCTTGATTGGTTCCTCGCAACAGACACGATGGATGAGACGGGATGTTTTTTTTTACTCTTTAGTTAATTTTATCTAATCATACTTCTCTACTTTTCAATGTTTATACAGTTTTGCCATACCGTGCTTGAGAATCTTATCTCCCCACACCTGATTTTTCTGTTTCCTTTTTTCCCCCATTTCTTTTTCATACACAATATGCATGAAAAGGGAATAATAAGTTTTGGGTGAAAATCTTCTCTCTCACACACCCAGTTTTAATTATTATTGTCTAGTGTCAACTTATGCTAAATTTACATTGAACTTGTATAAGAGTTGCTGTGATTATATTGGAGTATAATTTCTAAGTTCAATTGGTGTAATTAATTAATAAAGGTTCGGGTGAAAATCTTTCCCGTCACAGTTTAAGTTATTGTCAACTTATGTTAGATTTACACTTGACTTGTACTAGAGTTACTATGATTATTTTGATGTAATTTCTAGGAAGGATTAATGTAACTAAAGCATCTATCTTTTTCTTTTTCTTTTTCTTTTCTTATAACATACATGCTCATAAAATTTGGGTTTAGGAGGGAAGATTTGTACCCAGACACATCATTAGTTTGATTAAATCATCCATGATATATGTCTTGATGCTCCATTTGTTTGGTATTGTGTAGAGGTCCATATGTTTCTCCATATAAGTTAGAGCAACTCAACTTATATATGGAACAACCAATGCATGTTTGGTTTTGCTAGTGCTAACAGCTCCTAATTATTAGAGGATCTCCAGGAGTTTTGTCAAACAACTCCTTATTTTGATTTTTTAGCAAAAAGGAAAAAGACCCCTCTAACAATTTGATAAAAGAGCACCTTAAAAATAAAAAAGTTGTCAAATATCCTCTCCAACTCGTATGTTTCCCAATCGAGAGGAACTCCGTATCCACTCCCCATCGGACGTTTTTCTCGAAAGATCAGGGTAAATTAGACATATGAGTAAATTAAGAAAATAAAGGGTTTTATCTGAAAATCGCCTAGGAAGCTAATATAGTAAACTATTGAAGAGAAAAATAAATTGAGGTTGCTACTTATTTTGTTAACTCGCTAAACTTATTGGTTTAACAAGTTAGTTATAGGAAACACCTGAAGTTGCTCTTAGCGGGGTGTTTAGATCACTCGCTAATATAGGTAGCTAGATAGTTGGTTAGACGTGCATATAAATTGTTAGCACCCAATCTACTAACTAATGAATTAACTGTTAGGGCATCTTCAAGAGTTCCCAAAATTTATCTACCAAAATCGTTGAGTTTTCCATGTTGCCAAAAATAATTGGGAGTAGAAAATAAAGGCTTCTCCAACAATTTCTAAAAAGTAAAAAGTAACTCCCAAAATATCAAAAAATTAGATCTGTATGAAAGTTTCCAAGCGTTTACTGGCAATTTCGTAAATATCATCTTCTTCCTAAGAACAAGCAACATAAAAGCTTCCTGAGTGTGTCGCTGCGGTTCGAGCTGGCGGTGGCGGCGGCGGTCGTGGGGAAGGCCGACGTGGGGTCGGCCTCATCGCGATTGGCGGACACCGACGGCCGACCGGCAGCGACCGGCGATGCGGGCTCGAACTGGATCCGGGACCCCGATGGCTCTGCTTCTCCCTATGGCTCTGCGACGTGTGGGACCAGCGACGACGGCATGGTGGCATCCATGACGCGTCGTGGTGCCACCTTGATGGCTCGTGGGACACGATGACATGGCGTGGGATAGTCTGTTTCTCCCGGGCACGCAACTAGTGCCAGCGTCCACACTGCGTCCGTCGATGCGTGGAGCGGCAGGCGATGAGAGACAATGACGCGGTGCGGCGGGGCTGGTGAGGTGGGCGTGGCCGGGGACGCGACGAACATGACGCGCGGGAGGCGGAGCAGCGTGGGCGACGACAGGGGGATACGCACAACTCCCCTGCGCAGATGTATCTGCTCGTGGATTATTTTTTCCGAGCGCCAAAAGACTGAAAGGTGGGATTGCGAGTTGTTGGAGACATGTTTTTTAATCTTACCAAAAGCAAAGGTTTGGAGAATCTTTTGGGAACTCTTAGACATGCTCTTAGCAACTCCACCAGTGGATACCTGTCATATATGCATATTTAGATCCTCACCTGCTAACTTATCAAACATACCCTAAAACGCTCCGGAAAGAATGGAGTAGTTAGCTACACAAACACCCTACGTACTGGTGAAAAAACAACAGAGAAAAAAATGTGGAAATATAAAGGTAAACGATACGCTCTACAAAGTTGGATCATTGGATGGCATCCACTTCCATTGACACGAGTTGCACGCTGTGTATATATATGTAGGCGTGCATCTTTTTGGCAACAACCACGTACCTTCCGTTTATTTCGACTATGACATTTTAGGGGGGAAAATGAGCGCTTCACAGATAATCGATTTGTTTATTTTAGAAAGTTGTTGAAAACCTCAAAACATTTATTTGGTCCACGCGCATCCTGTGGTACGCAGCGCTCCAACTTCTTTAGATCTATGATGGCACTGACTTAGTGATGCGATTCATGAAAAAACAAACCCGGAAACGACTATAGGTGTGATATGATCGTGTGACTAATCAAGCAATGGAGCTTGTATACCACCTTGTTAGCTTGGTAGACTGGTGGTTATGCAAGAAATGTCCACCTACCTGAACAATAATTACGTTTTGTTATTTCTCCCATAAAGTACATGTACAACATAAGATAAAAACCCATAAAAGATAAATACGTACTCTCACCATTCCAAATTATAACTAGAAAAGCTAGGACAACTTACACAATTTGGAGCTGCAGGAGTGGTAAAGATCAATGGAGCGTCTATAGGGATCAACACAACAAAGACAAGGCTATAGAGAGGATCTAATTTGCCTTCATGATTATTAGAATTTATAAGAGGTGCTACATACCTCGTGGTATGAGATCGTCTGTTTTCATATTATATATTTTTTTTATACATCTAGATATATGGTATACTCCTTTCGTCTAAAAAAGCGTAATGCTTGGTATGAGTTTAGGATAAGTGTTTGTCCAAATTCATATCTAGAATTTTTTTTTACAGAGAGAGTATATATATTTATAATAAATACTACTCCCTCCGTTCTAAATTATAAGTCATTTTGATTTTTTTTTTACATTTATTTTGCTATGGATGAATAAAAAAAAGTTAAAGTGGCTTATATTTTAGAGCGGAGGAGTATCAGCCTGTTCGGTTGGCTGGTTCGTTTTGTTGCTGGTTCGTGAAGAAGTACTGCTAGCTGATTTGTGTGAGAGAAAAATACTATTTCGGCTAGAAATTTACGATCGTTTACGACAAGCTACATCAAACGAACAGGCTGTATATGTCTGGAAAGATTTACAATTTCAGGTTGGAAATATGAAAGAAGCAGGAGCCATGTCGCATGTGCCAAGAAAAAGGGTGAACGGGAAAAGCAGCACTAAACAGTGACGCCCAGGGAGGGAACGAAGCCGGGCTGGCCGCACGTGCCACGCCGCCCTCCGCACCACAAACCGCCATTCCCAGGGCTTCCTCCCTTGGCGGCTTCCTCCGGTTGACTGCTGTGGACCTCACGAGCCATGCGCAAGAAGAACGCAACTGCTCTCGGCAGCTGCCTACAATTATCAACAGCACAACCAAAATTGGCCACAAATTGCAGGCCAAACACAGCGCTCCAAATTCTTTTCCCATCACTGACGACGCGAGGAGCTGAGAGGTGCATAAAACTATTTTTAAAAAGAATCCACTACTAGTACTAGATTGGCTATTGGGCAAGAGAGAGGAGCGTGGAGAGGGAGGGGGAGGAGGCATAATTTCCCACTCACACTGGCCAACCACAGGGAATTCTCTCTCTTCCTCCTCTTCGCTCAAGAAATCCAGCGGAGGCTCGTCTTCTTCACCCTCCCTCCTCTCCAACTCTCCCCTCCTCGGACTACTCCTGCATCCAGGAAGCAAAGAATTGTGGGGGTAGCAAAGGAATTGGAGTTCTTGCATGGATGCAGCCCACTGGCAGCAGGTAAATTTGTCTTGCGAAACAAAGATCAATTCTGCACCACAACCACATGCATCTAAGCTACCCGGCCTGGACATATGCATCATCTGTGAGAATTTGGCCTTTGTTCTTCTCGATCCTGTTGGTGTTCATCTTCCTCTCTGCGCCTTGTTCTTGGTGCGTGCTGCGCTTTATTTGATGAGACCAGGCCATGATCTCTCATGCTTCCTCCCGTCTCTTCTTGGGTTCTGTTCTTCCTTTATATCGTTCGTGCAGATCTATGCATACCATCATCAGCATCTATCTCATCCGTAGCCTTTGGAGGTGAGGCCTTTGTGGCTTTAATCCTCTGCTACTACCTGCCCGGCCCTTTTAATCGTTGATTGAAAGCAGCAGCACACACACCACCACCACCTTTCTTTTCCTCCCTTTCTAATCCCCCTTTCCTCTCTATCATCCTTTTTATCCTCTTTTTTTTTACCTCTCCTCCATGGCTTTTCTCCTTCTCTCTCCTCCGCTCACCACTCCGCTCACCACTCCTTGTTGCATCAAAAGAGAAGCCATGTCGTCCCATGGTGATCTGTAGCAGAAGCAGTAGTACTGAAACACACAACCCTACAAGAGCACAAGCAGCAAAGGTGTGTTTTGTGCTGTGGTGTGTTGTGTTTTCTCTTTCTTCATCTTTTTCTTCCCCGGCCTGCCTTATCACCTTTACCTTTCCTCTCCCTTTTTCTTTTCCCTCTCTCTAATCTGTCTTTGTATCCATTTGTTTGGTTCTTAGTTGCGCCATAAAGATTCTAGCATCCCCCACACATCCAGCTCCCCCCTTTCCTTCCCTGCCGCATCTGCATGCCCACACATGTTATATTTGTTCACTTGTTCTTGCTTCTGGCTGTGGTTGTTTAACTAACTTGGTGCTGATCCTCTGCGTTCTAATGATGTGTTGTTGCTGCACCATGCGCGTGTCCTCATCAGGGCCTAGGGCTGGTGAAGCCCATGGAGGAGATGCTGATGGCGGCCAACGCGTGCGCCGCAAATCCGAACCAAGGCTCGAATCCGAACCCGCCGGCGCCGGCGCCGTCGTCGGCACCTGGTGGTGCCCTGCGCGGTGGCGCGCCGGCGCCCCTGGCGGGCGCGGGTAGCACCGAGCGTCGCGCGCGGCCGCAGAAGGAGAAGGCGCTCAACTGCCCGCGGTGCAACTCCGCCAACACCAAATTCTGCTACTACAACAACTACAGCCTCCAGCAGCCACGCTACTTCTGCAAGACGTGCCGCCGCTACTGGACGGAGGGCGGATCCCTCCGCAACGTCCCCGTGGGCGGCGGCTCCCGCAAGAACAAGCGCTCCTCGTCGTCGGCGTCGGCGTCGGCGTCTGCGTCCGCCTCCACCTCCGCCTCGGTCACGAGCTCGTCCATGGCCAGCACGGCGGGGGCGGCGTCCAAGAACCCGAAGCTGGCGCACGAGGGCGCGCACGACCTCAACCTGGCGTTCCCGCACCACGGTGGCCTGCACGCGCCCGAGTTCGTGGCGTTCCCGAGCCTGGAGAGCAGCAACGTGTGCAACCCGGGTGGCGGGATGACGAGCAACGGCCGGGGCGGCGGCGCGCTCTCGGCAATGGAGCTCTTGCGGAGCTCCGGCTGCTACATGCCGCTGCAGGTGCCGATGCAGATGCCAGGAGATTACACGGCGGCAGGGTTCGCGCTCGGTGAGTTCCGCACGCCGCCGCCGCCGCCTCCACCGTCGCAGAGCGTGCTCGGATTCTCTCTGGACGCGCACGGGCCGGGGTCCGGTGCTGCCGCGGCGGGGTACGGTTCCAGCGCGGGGCTGCCGGGCGTGCCGGAGAACGCGGGCAGGTTATTGTTCCCCTTCGAGGACTTGAAGCCGCCGGTTAGCTCTGGAGGTGGTGGTGTGGCCGGTGGTGCAACCGGTGGCGCCGGCGATGGAAATAGCAGCCATAATCAGTTTGACCACAACAAGGAGCAAGGCGGAGGCGGCGACGGCGGCCCCGGTGCCGGGCACGACACGCCGGGGTTCTGGAGCGGCATGATCGGCGGCAGTGGCGCTTCTTGGTAATGGAGAAACATGCACGGGGGCGGCGCCATGCATGGCTCATGCAAAGCCTCCGTGCGAGCATGCATGGGCGACTGGAGAAATAGTCATGCAGTAGAGACAAGGGTTCAATAAGAGGTTGGCATCGGTGGTGGTGATCACTTGTTTGATCTCTTTCCTAGTGTTGGTTCTGGTGGTGTTCTTCGTCTTCTTGACGCCGTCGTCGTCGCGAGTTCATGTGTGTTTTGCTGACCATCGACTTTAATTGGGGCTCTTAACACACCAGAGAGTACAAAAAATTCAGGGGTGATGATACATAGCTTGATCGACATCTCTTGGTGTCTCTCTCATTTCTGATCTTTCGCTTGATCTGCCATGGTAGCTGCTTCACTGTAGCACTTACCGGGGGCTTGGGAAGCTTGTTTTTAGGCCGGCTTCAAGTTAGATGGTATACATCAGTGCGTTCACGCCACACATTGACACAAGGTTTAGTGAATCAGTGTGTTTGGTTGGTAACAACAACAGGTGCAGTGTGTGAACTTTGAAGCTACTGGTGTAGAGTTAGATCTTAATTTCAAGGGGACTTGCAAGTTTGTGTATTCATCCAAATTATTCGAGATATTCATTTTGTTTTTGACTTGCTACTTTAATTATGATGCAGGCTCATATATAGGGCCTGTTTACATCCCTTTCAGTTTGAAAAATGGACACTATAGCACTTTCGTTTGTAGTTGGCAAAAATTATCTAATTATGGACTATTTAGGCTTAAAAGATTCGTCTCGTCAATTACGGACAAACTGTGCAATTAGTTATTCCTTTTACCTACATTTAATACTCCATACATGTGCCGCAAGATTCGATGTGATGAGGAATCTTAGGAAATTTTGGATTTTGGGTGGGATCTAAACAGGGCCATAATAGCAGTATAAGTACTTTTTATGAGAACAAAGGTTGCTTTTGAGCGCATGTAATGCATGTTTTATTGGTATTCACAGTGTTAGAGTAATGTACTCCGTATATCTGATGATAGCTCGATGTTTCTCTACTTTTGCAAGCTTGTCTTTCTTTCTGTCACCTCTGCCTGCGCTCCTTTTTCTTGTAGCAGGGCTAGCTCTGAGATGTCATGTCTCACCATCTTCCCAAACCAAGAATCTTCCAGCCATGAAAGGCACTACTACTAGCGAGGGAGGAGAGAGAGAGGGTGTGAGCCAGCGAGGGAGGAGGAGGAGGTCAGGATGGAGCAGCAATCGAAGGCATGGCCGCATGGTGATGGAGCAGGAGAATATGTACGTATGACAAACACCCCACTGACGAATACTGTCTCAAAAAAACAATATAGGCATTCAAATCTAAAATAGGTAGTAAGAGATCTAAAATCAATCTTCAACAGAGTACTATACGGGAGATCTATTTTGGGTTAACTAAGAAACACAACTTAAATATAGACATCTTTTCTCCTAAAAACTTATTTACAGAAATAATTCTTTTTTATATATTGTTGTTGGAGAAGATATCAAATATGTATTTAACCTTTTGACTATAGCCCTATAAAAAACGAATGGGAGAAGACGACGAATTTCTCCACATGGATATAGGTATTATTATATCCTACTCCGTATGTTTGGCCATCTGTAAGTGCCAGGGCAGGCCACCTTTATCGTTTTTGTAAGCCAAAAGGTACAACGCTACCCCGCTCCCTGCTCATCATAGTGCTTCTTTGCATCTTTCTGAGATTTTGTTTCAAAAAAAAATCTTTCTGAGATCTCTCTCCGTCCCTCAGGCTTTCATGTCCAAGTGGGTAAGAATGCAACTTTTTACTCATTTGTTTTTGTTTGTTGTTAAGCATTCACACTTGCCCAGTGTTCACCTGCCCACACCAGAAAGTTGTCACCCACTGAAACTTCCAACCAGCCTGTACCTGTGTACCACACCATGGCATTTCCTTGTCCATGGCCTGTACTGTGTGTACTGCAATGGCAGTATGGCACACAAGCTCTTCGATCACTTCTTCAGTCACCATGCGTCCATGGCTCCATGCCAAGCAACCAGTAGTACTTGTTCTCTTGGAGAGATGATGAGTAGTTAGAGGGCCCCACAAAAAACATTCTCCTAGGGATGAGGGCAGGAGGAATATTTGCTTCATCACTCTATTGATGCACTGGGCAATTGTATTAAACAACTGTACGTACTGCCTCAATGTGCTGATCGAAGGGAGTATATTACGATATTCTGCGTTGGGTTGGGGTCTCTAGTTGTTAGTTCCTTGATAGCAGTATCAACCTAACAATGTGTGGATAAGCTAGGATTATGCGTGCATTCTCTTGTTCCCATGATTCACGTCATTGCTTCGACCTTTGATTACTATAGATAAAGTAACACAGTACACGAACTTTAAGGAAAGTTCTCTCGTATTTCTATAGTAGTATGTACTTACTACTTCTATACTCTAACGAAGTACTACTACTCTATATCAGATTATCAGATGAATACTGCGACTACATTATGCTGATCTAACATAGAGGCTATTAAACACTAGTTTTGCCAAAGTCCTTGACTCGTCAAGTTGCTTTGCTTATTTGTAATTGTAACTATCACCTACATGTCCCAATCTGCCTTTTTTTTTGTATCTATTTTCTGGGCTGTGGTCTCAACTTTGTCTGCATGCTGTCCTTGCCTCGCCCTCATGGCACTACAAGGGGATAGCTCATTGTTAGTTGCATGGGAGTGTATGCATCGTCTATATATCTATATGCCTTGCGGTGCAATGGCTTCCTTAACTTCTACGTGCGCATCTCTTTCATACATGCTACAAATGCATGGATACGATTGGGGATGTCCAAGGCTTGGCCTTTCAATTTACTCCATAGCAGCCTCTACCTAAACATGCAGCTCCTTGCACTTGTTCATTTATGCGAGAGGTGAAGGTCTAGGAGAGGAGAGATGGGTATAGCATATATATGCATGCATGCATCTGGACTACTACAAGCCTACTACTATATGCTTAGTTTTCGTCTCAGTTCTCTTTTTGAGCGCTCCAGCACTAGTATACCTCTTTCATGCATTCTTGCGCCTAGGTCTACCTCTGCGTGTTGGTGCTTTCTGATGGTGGAAAATTCAGTTTCTGGAAATAGCTGGGTATCAGAGTTGGGTAGCAGAGAGTTCCAGGATGTAAATTAGCAGTGATACCACAATGTTCTCTGATATTGCAGAATTATTGCTGCAAAATGTAATTACACAGTTCACCACACCAATGAATTGAAATGCAATTTGGAACTTAAAGTGACTCTGAATTACAACAAATTTTGATCTTTTTTCCCTTTTTTAAAAAATAAGATACATATTTATGTGTCTTTAAAGTATATTTGAACTATTAAAGGATATTATTTTTCTTGGCAAGGAATACTCAAGGACATTCATATATAGCAGCGTTTGTTTCTTCTAAAACAAAGAATCATATATTTATAATTGATATCTAGTGAAAATTGATGCCACATTATGAGTTCTTGATATGATG